CATAGTTTTTATAGATGGCAAAAATGTTTTACAAATATAATACTTTAATTTCATTAAAGTTTAGGTAATATTATGAATTTTGAAATCTATAATTTATATTAGTATAAGTAATTTCTAAATAAAATAAAATGAATTGTATTTATTAAAATATGAAAAAACCAAAGTTTGACAAAAAAAATTATACTTATTATTTACAGAAATTTTTATTATTGGAAACTATTATATACTTTGAAATCAGAAATAAATAATGCATTAAAAGTTATATTTACAAAATACATATAAAAGATAAGAATTATCTTGTTAATTATTAATCGACTTATATAGCCACTTTGTAATTGGTAAGCCATTTATTCTTTTATAATAAATTTTTTAGTGAATGTATTTATAAATTATTTAATGAACAAAAGTATTAAAAACCTATTTACTGAATATATTGATTTAAAATAATATTAAGGATTATATAAGGAATAAAGAAATATTTTCTGTCACAAAAATGACAACTATCAAAAATTATTTAAGCAAGTGCTTTAATGATTTTTTTTTTGAATTTAAAAACTATTTATAAGATAATATATTAAACCAATTTCAATGAGCTTGAAGTTTTTTTTTTATTTTGAAATATGATGGTGTGAAAATTTTAGCATACTTAATACTGTACTTATATTATATATATTATTATTAACGAATTTGAATTACGTATAAGTTTGACGCACAACACATGTTTTGTTTAACATAATGCTTATTTGCCAATGAAATGCTTTAATTAATACGAATAATAAATTATGTGCAATGCATTACGTAATTTATTAATACGTAAATATAAATTAATTAATAGTTCCAATTATAAAAAAAAACGTAAATAAGGTGCATAACTTTTGTTACACTTGGACAAACGATAAATGCCCCGTTATACTCCAGGCAATCTTAATATTGTTAGTCATTTAACTAAAAATAATTAGCTTAATTTCTTCTTTTGACACTTTCGAAATGATAATATTACCTAATGAATGTCTTGAAGAAATATTCAAGTGCCTTAGAAATTACCCTAGACACTTATTTTCATTCCTTCTTGTAAATCGTCAATGGTGTAGAATTATTGCTCCAATATTATGGAGCGAACCCTTAAAATACTGTAGTGATAGAAAACTTATAAGTATATATCTTTTATCATTAAATGCCAAAGAAAAGGCTTTATTAGCTCCGTTAAATATATCACTTACCAATCATACAAAACTTTTATTTAAATATGCATCTTATACAACATATGTTGATAGTTATAATTTAAAAAAAGGAATCATACATTATCTTTACCCTGATGAATATGAAAATTATTATGATAAATTTTATAGAATATATAACGTATATGATAATATAGTTGAACCAATCGAAATTTCTTTAATTAAAATGTTAGTACGAACAAGTAAAAAATTTTCGTATTTTGATTTTGGTGGAACCATCAATAACAAATTAGAGAAAATATTTGCAGAATCATTTTTCGAAAGCACTACTATTACTTACTTGAGACTTGATGACATTAACCTTAATTTTAAAGCTATAAAAACACTAGCAGATATTCTTTTTAAAAACGGCAGTTTGGTTTCATTAGCATTTCAGAATTGTAATCTTGGTGATAAGGAAGCAATAATATTGGCGGAGGCTCTTTACGAGAATACAACATTATCTACCTTAAGTCTTTACGAAAATAACATAGGAAATGACGGAGGAGAAGAACTTGCAAAAGTTCTTAATAAAAACACAACTCTAAAGTCTTTAAATATTGGGTCTACCAAACTTGATTTTAAAACTGGAAAAGTACTTGCAAGAGCTCTCTACAACAATATCTCTTTGACATCCTTACGACTTTTAGACATGAAACTTGGTGTTGAAGGAAGCAAGGCATTAGCAGAAGCTCTTTGCAGAAACACGTCTCTAACCTCTCTGGCTCTTTATGGTAATAAACTTGGTTTTGAAGGAGTAAAAGCTATAACAGAAGCTCTTTGCAGGAATACGGCTTTAACTTCTCTGGATATTGGAAACAATGAGATTGGACATGAAGGATTGAAGGTGATAGCAGAAGCTCTTTGTAAAAGCATTCCTTTAACTTCATTGAGTCTTACGAGCAATTACCTTGGTTCAAAAGAAGCCAACTTATTAGCAGAAGCTCTTCGCAAAAACACTATTCTGACTACTTTAATACTTTCATTTAATTATATTGGTTCTGCAGGAGTAAAAAAGTTAGCAGAAGTTCTCTGTATAAATAATACCTTAACTTCCTTAGATCTCAGTTATAATGATATTTCTTCTGACGGAATAAAAGTGTTGTCAGAGGTTCTTTATTCAAATACAAGTCTAGCTTCCTTAAATCTTAGTGGCAATTATTTTATTTTTAATGATCATAAAGCAATAAAAGCATTAGCGGATACCCTTTGCAAAAACACAACTTTATCTAACTTAGCTCTTTCTAGTAATGATTTAACTTTTGATAAAGGACAAGTATTGGCTGAAGCTCTTTGCAAAAATACCACTTTAACTTCTTTAGATCTTAGTACTAATTCCCTTTGTTACGAAGGAGTAGAATCATTAGTAGAAGCTCTTTATAAAAACACTACTTTAACTACTTTAGATGTTTATGGCAATGACCTTAGTTTTTATAGATGCAATTTATTGGCAAAAATGCTTTACAAACATAATACCTTAATTTCTTTAAAGTTTACATAATATTAACGTTATAAATTTTGAATATTAAGTGGAAATATATTTAGATTTTAATTTGATTAATTATTGCAAGCGGTTAAACCAAAAAAATAAAAATCATGAGAAAAATACAAGTTAATTATTATATATTGGTGAATGTTTTAAACGTAATCTTAAATTCATGTTTGTTGATTTAAATCCATTGAAATCTGTTAAAAAAATTCTTTATTGATAATGCACTTGTACCATGTTTGTGGCGCAGACAAATACTTAAATTTAGGGTAGGGTTAGGGGCACTCAGAAAATGTGTACCAGGTTTGTGGCGCAGATCTCTTGAACTACGAATCAGATTTCATTATTAGGCATAACATAATATCTGGAAGATTCAAGATAATATAGCTACACAAGGTAGTTGCGCTAAAACCAGGAACGGATCTCCATTAGATTGTATTCGAGGTATTAATCCAGTGTTGTCACAGGAAGACTACTGGAAGGTCACTGGCAAAATTACTAAGGTCGGTTGACAGGGCTGACCATATTTTAAAAAAACATTTCTGCTAAATTATGATGCTAAATTATGTCATAATACTTGTTACTATTTCGATTACTAGAAAATCATATGCTTGAAAAAATTCTATACATGACTAAGATTCATCGAATACTGTCAAATAAATAACAATTATAATAATTGTCGCGGCTGAAGCTGGAAACGGAAATTTTAAATATTTTAATATGAAATTTTGAAAAATTTTTGGAGTGCATTTTTTAGCTTTTTTTTTACCGTTAGGTTAGCCTAATTTCCAGCATCAGCCGCGACAATAATTTAACGTGAAATAATTTAATTAAATTAGGTTAAATTACATTTTAAATTATAATAAAAATACGTTTATGAAAAAACATCGTTTAATAAAAATAAGCCATCGGAATAGATATATATAAAACCATTATTGTCCAATAAAAAAATTCAAAAAAAATTATCACATTTATATCAAAATCCGTGTTGAATATTAATCAACAAGACCATATAATCAAAATTTAATCCAAAAATAGATAAATAAGGTAGCTGCGCAACGAGTTGCGCCTAATCCCAGCCGTGGAAAAAGAGAAGAATTAGCATAGTTTCGGTTAGTACCAATGAAGTGTGGAATGCTGAAGTTAAAGAAAAGAGAGGACTTGCCAAAGAAAGAAGAGTGCCAATCCTGATTCGATGTACCAACCAGGCTGTCAGAACAAACTGAAGAAAAAGAATATCAGGCTAGCCTGATATATTGATGGACTGGTTGTAGTTCTACATGGGTTATCTGGATTGGAAGTTTGGTAAAAAAAACAGAGGAAAAGGCAAGGTATACTAAAGTTTCAGGGTTATGCTATTAAGTAGATTCTGGGATCTAAGTAAACTCTACAAAGATATAGCAGTTTAATAGTTAGCCCTGATCACAAGTGTTGGTTTTGTCATAACGATACCTAGGTCAGTTGTAAAAATGAATACAGAAGGTTCTGAAGAGTTTACTTTAAGGATAAATTAGTCCTAAGATTGAGACAATGATCTGAGCATTTGGGTATGACTCAGTGAGTTAATACAGGTTACAGATTTAGAGAGTTTAAAATAGAACATCCAAGCAGAAGTGTTAGGTATGGCAATTGGTGAAGAATCTTCAGGTGAACTCTTTAAATAGGTAATATAAAAAAGTTACATATATAGCCAATTGTACACTCTTCTGTAATGGTTCATTGAACTACAATACTGATAAATGATTAATAAAAGTCAAAAGATCAAAAAGGTCACCTTTGTAACTGTATCTATTAAGGGTAGATAGGTCGGGTCGAATTTTTATGTGAAACTTAAGCAAATTGGGCTATTTCTCTTTATTATCAAGAATGTAAGCGAAGCCTAACTAGCTTCCTCTTTCTCTTTACATATTTATATCGCATATTACAATACAATTACTTAATTATGACTCAATGCAATTACTTAATTATAACCTTGAATCGATCATACAATCATTACGATTCCTAATACTCAGTATTCGATCATACTAACGTAATTCTGATCTTACATCACGTTTCACGTGATATACGATCGTTCTGCAAATCTCTGATATGTGCATTACACTGCTCGTGCATTGTGCGACGTTTACTTACACTCTCCTCCATTTAAAACAGTTTCACTATTTCTCTCGAATTCTTTTACTAGATCTTTATAATTTTCGAGATTGATCAAAGGTTCCCAAGTGGCATCATATAGTGGTTGGCCTTTCCATTTTACCAAGTATTGCAGCCATCGGTAGTATGTTCTTTTGTCTAGTATGGCTTCAATTTCTTGCTATTCTGAATTTTCACTTAAGGTTGTTGGAATCGCTTTTCTCACTTCATCTTCGAATTCATTAGGGTAATAGAGTTTTATCAATGATACATGGAAGACTGGATGGATGCGTAAAGTTTCTGGAAGTTCCAATCAATATGTTGTTGCTGAAATTTTCTGGACAATCTTGAAAGGGCCTATAAATTTTGAGATAAGTTTCTTTGATGCTCTTTTCGTGCTTTTTTGTGGAATTATGTTTGATGCATTCAATAATACTAAATCTCCTTCGTTTAATTCTAGGTAATGTCATCTTTTGTTGGCTTGATCACTTTGTTTCTCTTGAGCATTTACTAACGAATCTTTTGCTATATTCATTATTTCAGTCCAATGCTTGAGTAGTTCTTGTGTGGCTTTAACATTTGTGGGGTTAACCTTCTCGTTCGTTAGACTTAGTGGTGTTCTTGGATGGTGTCCATTATCTAATTGGAATGGTGTATAACCTGTGGATCCTTGTAACGAATTATTGTAAGAGAATTCTGCGACAGGTAAAATGTCTTCCCAATTGTCTTGCTTATAGTTTACATAAGCGCGCAAGACTTCTTTGAGGATTCGGTTCGTATGTTCTGTTTGTCCATCAGTTTGTGGATGTGCTGATGTCGACATCTTTAACACTATTCCCATTATTTTGAAAAGGCTTTTCCAAAATTTACTGGTAAATTTTGGGTCTCTATCGGAAACTATGAAACGGGGTAGGCCATGGTGCTTGAAAATTTCTTTGAAGAAGGTTTGGGTGACTTCTGCTGCCATTGCAGAACTTCTGGTAAGTATTAAATGTGCTTTCTTGCTTAGTTTATCTACTACTACCATTATTGAATCGTTTCCATTTCTTGTATGTGGTAGGTGTGTTATGAAGTCCATTAATACGATTTCCCAAGATTGTGACAGAATTTCTAAAGGTTGTAATAAACCTGCTAGGGCTTGCATAGAACTTTTGTTTCTCTGGCAACTATCACAGCTTCTTGTATATTTCTTCACGTCTTTACTCATATTTTTCCAGTAGTAACTTCATCTTAATCCTTCATAGGTTTTCTCGAATCCGAAGTGTCCATTCAAGTCATAGCTTTCCTTTAATAACGGCCTTCGTTCCTTGGACTCCCTTGCTATGCATAATCTTGGCTCTTCTGTTCCTTCTCTAAAAAATAGTAATCCACTTCCTTTTATTTCGAATCTACTTACCTGCTTTCCTAGTTTTTTAGCTTCTTCGCATTGAGAGTCTTTCAATGCTTTTATAATTCTTTGGAGATAAGTATCTTCTTCATATTCCTTTTTTATTCTTTCATACATATCTGTTTCAATATTAATTTCTGTTATTGCGTTCGCTTCAGGTTTCCTTGACAACGCATCCGCTACTACGTTGTTTCTTCCGGGTCGATATTTAATGGTAAAATTGTATGCTTGAAGAGTTTCAACCCAACGGGCTTGTCTTCGTGACAATTTTGTTTGGGATTGTAGATATTTTAATGATTCGTGGTCGGTTATGATTTGGAAGGTATTTCCTTCTAAGTATACATGCCAGATCTTTAGTGCGTGGATGATTGCTAAGAGTTCTTTCTCATGAATTGGGTAGTTTAATTCTGCAGGAGTTAATTTTTTTGATTCATATGCCACTGGTTGTTCTTCGTAGCCTTGGTCTTGGGATAGTACTGCACCTATTGCTATGTCTGAGGCATCAGTTGTGAGGGTGAATGGTTTGTTGTGGTCTGGGATTAGCAATACTAGAGCGGATGTTAATGTTTCTTTAAGTTTTTTAAAAGCTTTCTCTTGTGTTTCTTTTCATTCGAAATTTTCATTCTTTTTTAGTAGCTTTGTCAATGGGGTTGTGGTGTTTGCAAAATTTTTTACGAATTTTCAGTAATAACCCGCAAGGCCTAGAAAGGATCGGAGGTCGTGGATATTGGTAAGTGTAGACCAATCTTGGATTGTCTTGATTTTCTTGGGGTCCGCTTTTACTCCTTCATGTGAGATTATGTGTCCTAAAAATTCTACTTCTTCCTTTCCTAATTCACATTTCTTCATCTTTCTGTATAGTTTATTTTTCTTTAAAATTTCGAATACTTCTTTTATGTACTTGAGGTGTTGTTCTTTTGATTTACTATATATTAGTATATCGTCTAGATATACTATAACACTTTTATCAAGCTGTTCACAGAAGATGTCATTCATTAGCCTCATGAACGAGGCGGGGGCATTCGTCAGGCCGAATGGCATAACTAAAAATTCATAATGCCCATATCTTGTTCGGAATGCTGTCTTTTGTATGTCATTTTCTTTTACTCGTATCTGGTGATATCCTGAATGGAGGTCTTTCATGCTGAAGTATTTTGCACCTAATACCTGGTCTAACAATTCATCGATACGTGGCAGGGGGTATCGATTTTTGATTGTTATTTTATTTAGTGCATGATAATCGATGCACATTCTTAATGTTCCTTCTTTCTTGGCTACAAATAGAACAGGCGCACCATACAGCGAAGTACTTGGTCTAATAACTCCTTTGTTCATATAATCTTCAATTTGCTTCTTTAACTCCTTCATTTCTGGCACCGACATTTTATATATAGGTCCGTATGGTGGAGACGTCCCTTCTTGTAGCGGTATTTCATGGTCTATGTTTCTTTCTGGTGGTAAGTTCCTAGGTAATTCGTCGGGAAATACGTCTTGATATTCCTCTACTAATTCCTTTAAAAACTCTGATACTCTTTCTTCTTTAATTTCTTTTCCAGAATCTTCTACGGAGAATACGGCGTATAACTCTGCGGTGTTCTTTGCTTCTTGGGCAAATTGTTGTCTGGACAAAAGGTTTGTATGATATTCGTTCATATCTTCTTTTACTTCTGCCTTGATTTTATAAATACAGTTGTCTTTTTTAATAGAAATTTGGTTATTTTTCCAATTAATTCTTGGGTTTAGGTCGTAGAGCCACGGTTTTCCCAGAATTAAATCATATTTTTGTATAGGTAGTACTTCAATGTCATTTCTTACATCCACAAAGCTTTGCATAGTGATTGCAACATTTGATACGCTTCCTCTGGACTCACATCGGGAGCCGTCTGCTAATTCTATTGCATTTGAGGTTTCTGTAACTAATGTTTGTAAGTGATCATTAGTTGTCTGTTGCTGTTGGGTTGTATTAGCAAGGTATTGGTTGAGTTGATTCTGATTTTGGAGAAATCTTTTAAACATATTAATAAAGTCATCTGTTGACTCTGTTGTATCTATTACGTTTTTATTTGTATTGTTTTCTTTAGTCATAGACAGTAATCTTTTTTAAAAAAAATTTTTTTTTTAACAGAGAATAGGTCAGTTTAAAGATATCTTTTATTTTATTTCTGCTGCTACCAAATGTAACTGTATCTATTAAGGGTAGATAGGTCAGGTCGAATTTTTATATGAAACTTAAGCAAATTGGGCTATTTCTCTTTATTATCAAGAATGTAAGCGAAGCCTAACTAGCTTCCTCTTTCTTTTTACATATTTATATCGCATATTACAATACAATTACTTAATTATGACTCAATGCAATTACTTAATTATGACCTTGAATCGATCGTACAATCATTACGATTCCTAATACTCAGTGTTCGATCATACTAACGTAATTCCAATCTTACATCACGTTTCACATGATATATGATCGTTCTGCAAATCTCTGATATGTGCGTTACACTGCTCGTGCATTGTGCGACGTTCCCTTACAACCTTAATAAAAAAAATAAAATAAAATAAAAATTTTATACTGATATCTTATTGCTATCAAACACAAATCTAAACTTGTACTAATTATTTTAACTAATACCATGCTGAACCATAATTAAAAATATATAAGATATTCAGATACAATATTATATTATCAATTTCCTTATTCAAAAAAACACAACAGATTTACTTAAAACTAGTAGACATATTTAATTATAATAATTATAAAATAATTTGTAATATGTTACTAATATCTTACAACATTTATATTTACTAATAGATGGCCCAAATAAAAATATAACAATATATCAAATAATATTATTACTATGATATTTATAATTTATATCTTTGCACATACAACAATACAATATATACTACAATATCCATATACACCAATTGAAAACATTCTTAAAACATATAAAGATTTAACAACTTCAAAAAATAATTATGAACTAAACATATCCTTTATCTTGAACAATCAACTTTATCTGATAACTCTATATTTTTAGATTAAAAACACATTTTATCAAGACTTGAACAAATTTCTAGAGGACATAAACCAAAATAATTTACAATATTAGAAGACAAAACTATTACATATTCTCTTACTAGAAAACTTAACTCTTATCTAAGTCTTTCACAAACTAACTTTAAATCTTTCACAACTAGGCATTATAGTTCAAAATCAAAATCATGGCTTATTACTATTGATTACAATAATAAATAATTAATAATAGAAAAGACATACAAATATAACCAAAATAACAATGCTATATCTATTACATACTGGACAATTAAAGCAAATGCATCCAATACAAACCTTATTCATTCTAACAAAATACTAAACTACTGTATATTTGATATTTCTGCTACTCTTTCTACAAAATTTTTAGGAAGAAAATAATAAAATTCTACAAATAAACTTAAACTTAATGCAAATTAAACTACCCAATTCATGAGAAAGAACTCTTAGCAATCATCCACGCACTAAAGATCTGGCATGTATACTTAGAA